AAAAATGCACTTGATAAAATTCTTTACTTTTCTTATGTTCCCATTATGAACATTTAATCATAAGAAAGCTAAAAATAGTATGGTGTTAGAAAATATAATAATGTTTTAAAATTATTGTGGGAAGGACTTAATTGGCTTAAATATGAGTAAATCTTTAAATAAGTCATGTTATTTATTTACAAAAGGCTAATATCATGGAAGAAATCTTCCAAGTTTTGAATGAATTTTTGTTTTCTTTACAATGAACCCAACAAAACCATCTCCATGTTTGCTCTCGCTCTCTTTCTCTTTCAAATTAAAAACAAGACATCCACCAGGCTTGCGACTATAGCTATTTATTTTCCTCTTGAGTAGAATATGACTTTTCCTTCCCAGAATTAAAACCACCAAGGATTATTTCTCGAAAGAAAACCTTAAATTGAAATAGCCTAAGTCATATTATGTGACCGTGACTAAGGTCACATAATTCTTATTATATTAATAATAAGAATGATTAATATCTACCCTGTAGGGTAACACAACAGGTGATATAAATTATGAACGTTTGTCTCAGTCAAACGCGTAGGAGTCTTTGGAGATTACGCAGTCTTTGCAAAGCCATTTTTTTTTTTTTTTTTCTTTTGCGGGCCGCGGGCCTCTCACTGTTGTGGCCTCTCCCGTTGCGGAGCACAGGCTCCGGACGCACAGGCTCAGCGGGCATGGCTCACGGGCCCAGCCGCTCCGCGGCATGTGGGATCTTCCCGGACCGGGGCATGAACCCGTGTCCCCTGCATCGGCAGGCGGACTCTCAACCACTGCGCCACCAGGGTAGCCCCTGCAAAGCCATTTTTCAAGTAACACACATAATCTGTAATGCTTTATTTCTTCAATTGCTTTCCTCTGTAGTTTAGCATTTGCATACTAATTTGTTTTTAAAATTAATAGACACTTTTTATCTGAATTTGCATTAGTTGAATGAATTGTTGGTGTTGGTTTTATAGCCTACTTTAAATTGCCATGCTATAATTGTGGAGCATTTTATAATTTACAAAGTAATCTGATATAATATTCTCACGTTAGTTAGCTGTGGAGGTTTAATCAAACTAGGGAGTGATTTTTCTTCAAGATAGCACTCTCATGTTTTGTGTTCTGAGGCACATATGTAGGTATCTAAATACTCCTCTGATGCCTCTGCAGGCTTCTGCCTTAGTTCCATCTCTGTTATCTGAAGGAGATCCCGCTGAGGAAGGAGACTTCCCCTTTGACATAGGAGTGTTTATTCTGCAGTGAGCAGAAGCCAAGCGATAAAGAAGCTACGTTTTGAAAATACGACCCTGTAATGTAAGGATAGTCAGCTTTCTAATGGTTTCTCTAAAAATACTGTAAACCATTTTTGGATCAGTCAAAATATTCCCCCCTTTCAGTAATTCAGTGATTGTTTCCGAAGCACCTTATCACTTGGGCACTGGGGTATATTGGGAATTAAATGTGAAGCGAGGACGAGCAAAATTCCTGCTTCCTGGCTGCAAGTGTAGCGTACATCTGTTCTATGTACTGGCACAGACTTTAGGTCAAACTGCGACTCTTGAAAGGTTAAGTGATCCCATTGAGATGGTTCCATGATAGGATTCCTATTGGTCCTCAGAACCTCTGCCACCGGAATAATCCCGTTGCCACTCAAAGTTCCTGTGATGTCATTCTAAAGCTTTACCTGGGTGCTTACTTCAGGTGCTATTTTCTTCTGAAAAGAAAAACAAGCTTGACATCTGAATATGTGAATTTGAGAATTTCAAGAGATAACAAAGTTATGGTAATCATTGTCAAATGATCTTTTTAGACAGGAAGGGTTGCAAAATCATAGAAATTATTATTTTGAAGTATTTTTTCTTTCGATTCAAGACAACGAAATAAATCTGAATCTGAGGGTACTAAAAGTTGAGTTTCTTAATGGTGAGTTTCTAAGTTATTGAAGTGATTTCTTTCTAATTACCTTGAAGCAGAGGTAGCACCTTTTAGAGTTGCATGAACAATACTAATCAAGTTTCTGTAAGCGAAGGCAATTTTATTTAAAATGTATCACAGTAAAGTAAATGTATCACAGCCATCAGGGAGTTTCTGAGATGCTCTTCTTGGGCTCTTGTCTACTCTCCCTCTATGCTCCGCTCTCCTGCGGGGGAAGCTGACACTTTTACACCCACTGAAACCATTCCTCCATCACTTCGCTCATTTGGCCAGATGGCTCTACTACCATGACTACAAGACTCCAGCTGCTAGACTGTTTTCTTACAGGTATTCTGGGTGTCTCCTAGTGAATAGTTTGTTATATCACATGCAGTGAGAAGACTTGGTGTAGGCAGTCCTGGAATCTTGTGTACGATTTGTAAGTCTTACATTGTGTAATCCACATTTTAGGGAGCGTTGCCAGATTTGCCATGTTGTATGCATCGTTTTTCTGGAAAGCCTCTCTACCAACCCACTTCCATCTCTCTTTTTCACGTTCTCCACCCTACACATACACACATACATGTACACACACCAAACACACCTGAAATTCATATCACATGTTAAGGTAATCTGAGTACCCTGGTGCTACACAATTTCCAACGCCTATGTAAAAGTCAACTTTTTAATCTCACTGTCATTTACTTTTGTTCTCACTATCATTAACATAAAATTCATAATACAATGTATATTTGTATATAATAACATACAAATTTATACACACATTGTGCTAAAATCATTTGTTCAACGTAATGGCAGAAATGCCACTTTTTAAAGGCAGACAGGAAAAGTCTATAATTTGTAAAACAACCATAGGAATAAAAAAATCTCAGCCATCATGCTAAAATATATTCCTTTGAAGAAATTCTTTCTGATTTTAGAGAATCCTATGTTTTAGTTTTTACAAAAAAAACCCCAAAACAAAAAAAACCTAAGACACATAATGTATTCTGAGGTTCTTAAAAAGATGCATGTTCACATTTCTGAGTTTGCATTAGTTTAAAAGTTTGGAAAGATCAGAAGCTTAAAGTATCCAGAGAGAGAGTGAGAGTGCAAGTGCGAGTGAGCACATACTATAATTTCATCCATTACATGGATCTGGGAAGATCTATATTTACATGGAGGTGAACAGCCCTGCACTTGTAGGTTCTCCATGTTTAGAGCTGATGTTAGGGCTGTCTGTTGCCTTCAAGAAGCTTTTTTTAAAATTTATTTATTGTTGGCTGCGTTGGGTCTTCATTGCTGCACATGGGCTTTCTCTAGTTGCGGTGAGCGGGGGCTACTCTTTGTTGCGGTGCGCGGGCTTCTCACTGCTGTAGCTTCTCTTGTTGCAGAGCACGGACTCTAGGTGCACAGCTCAGTAGTTGTGGCTCATGGGCTCTAGAGCGCAGGCTCAGTAGTTGTGGTGCACGGGCTTAGTTGCTCTGCAGCATGTGGGATCTTCCCGGACCAGGGCTTGAAACCTGTGTCCCCTTCATTGGCAGGCGGATTCTTAACCACTGCGCCACCAGGGAAGCCCCCTCAAGAAGCTTTGCTGGCCTGATTTCTGTACAGGTGTCAGTTGAGAGGCTGGGTGCCTGCTGGTCCTAGGTCTGCATCTGGAAGCAGAGATTCACACTGTTGCAGCCCGGGAGTGGCTGGGAAGTTTAGTATCCACTCACGCAAAGAGTGCCCTGGGACCACTGTTGATCTGAGCAAGTCTGCATATGGCTGCGAGTTTAAACTTCCAGAGTGAAAGGCAAAATGGCCTGGTATGAACTTTGGAATCAGTTTGGGGTTTAAATTCTGGCTTTTCCAACTGTAGGCTATGTGATTTTCAGCTTATTTCTGTGAGCTTCAGTTTCTTCATTTATAAAATGCAAGGCAATTATAAGGAATAAATGGAGTAACATATCCAGAGTTGCCTGGGACTCAGTAAGGAGTGAATGAATGGTATTTTCTTTCTCCCTCTCCATCACTAAAGAGTCAGGAGTGGGGTGAGTAATATCCACAGTAACTTGCTGTAGCTCCCCTTCCTGGTTTGATTAGGTAAAATCTAGCCAACCACATTTTCAGACAAAGCTCTTGGAAATCATCTGTTTTATCCCCAGTCAGTAAGAAGGCAAGTACCTAGAGAAATTCCAAGCCAGGAGAGGGACTGAGAGAGAAAGTCTTCCCTGGGAGTTGGATTCGGTCCATGCTTTTTTGTGTAATACCCAGTGGCATACAGCTGATAGAATGAGATTGTACATCATTTATTTTTTAAGATTCCCTGATTCGGTGTGAACTTTTTCTTGCATCTCATCTTACACAAAACCCAACTGCAGATTTTAAGGAGGTGATATGTAATCAATACTTTTATTCACAGGTGATTTCCCTTTAGTGAAAAGCATTTGCAGTTATGCTGCTTGGAAATTTTTATCAGCTTAAGCAACAAAAAAGTAACATTCAAAGTAAATCCGATTGACCAGACGTTACATAATCTATTGATTGTATGAGGAGTTATGATGCACTTTAATTGAGCCAAAGACCTCTCATATCTGTTTAAAAATGCCCTTAGGCTAGGTTATGCAGAACAAAAGATAGAGAAATGTAAAGTGTCAGTGAATTCTAAAACTAAAATATCTGCCTCTTTTTTCTTCACTTTGTGCCATCTCTGAATATGCAGCTCATAAAAATAGTCTGTGCTAGAAGACCTTCCCTTTATGTAACCCACTCGTTATTACAATGTGAAATGTATTTCACCTTTTGCCTTCTCTTTCTCTATTTTAATTCTAGAGCATATTAAAACTCTTGAGTCATTTTGGAATTACACAAAACGACCATAATATCAAGATTTTAGATAAATAGCATAGAGTGAAAATATTAAGATATGACATAACTTTTTAAAATCACAAATGAGATTTGTCGGTAGTTAGGTATTATCTTCAGAAATATTTTGAAAATATATTCAGAACTAGTTTAAATTTTGGTACTGAAACTATTCACTTAAGAAACAATTTTGTAATTCTTTTTCTTTTTTTTCTTCTTTTCAATTTCAGGGTCAGCCTGGTCCTGAGGTAAGTGAACTCTTTTTCTTCTAACAAATCAATTTTAATTAGGATTTACCCAGCGTGGAGGTTTTTCTGCAATTCTTTTCAAAGGATATAAAAAAGTTATGAACCAGTAATCATGACACCACACAGCAGACAAAATATTTCCCAGGAGTAAAGCTTCAGGGCCTCTTAAGGGTTGTATGAACCACATCAGCTGTTGGACCAGATGGCAAGTTTAACAATGTAGTATCATATAAAGCAAAACTCTTAACTGATCTGAGACAGTGCCACAGGACTTTCATGTAAGATAAAATGATTTCATAGTAGATGTCAGGTATGAACTTGTTTCCTTGAAGTACTGATTAATCATTACTATTAATGTTGTTGTAAATACACACAGACTGATTATTTAGATTGTGATCCTACCAGCTACTTTATAGACAGATATTGAATTCGTTCTACATTTCAATATAAACTAACTGCTGAAGATATGGTTTATAATTAAATGTGAATGCAGTCAACAGACAGTCTTTCGGTCCTAAATCATAATGAAGAAAATGAGGAAATATTAGGGAGGGGAGGAATGTGTAAAAAGATGAAAGTACAAAAGAAGGGAGTTGTCAGAAATGAAGAGTCAGTAAAAAACAACAAACTCACTTATTGTAGTCAGTAGGAATCTAGAGAGAAGGAAATGCCATTATTAATGTTTTACCTTTAACACTATAATACCTGTAAATAACATAGTTATTTTTTGAGTTCCCTTTACGTCTCTTTCCCCTCGATATACTGAATGTTATTTCTGTCCTAGATTGTTTCGTAAATAAATGATTTTCATGATATCTTTGTTAATCAATATCATAAATTGTCTATCGTGTGCTAATTCTCATACTAGACCATGATAATATTATTTATAGTTTTTTTTTTTTAATTTTTTTTTTTTTTTTTTTTTTTTGGTT